AATTTGGGCAAGTTTCAGCTAGGTGATCTTTCTATTCCTTGTGGCATCAAGGGAAGTCACTCAGTGGTATTTACCTGGTGAATGAGAGGTTTGGAGGGTTCAAGACAATTCACTCACATATCTGGTACCATGCAGGGATGACTAGACCATGGGCTCAGCTGGCTCTGTTCACCAGAATGGGGCCTCTCCAGCATGGCAATCTTCTCACATGGTGGCTCAGGGTTCTAAGAGCAAGTGTTCAAGTGAGCAAGGCAGAAACTTCATGGTCTTTTATGACCTAGCCTCATAAGTCACAGAGTTTCATTTCGAGTATCCTATATAAGTCAAAGAAATCACTAGCCTACCCAGATTCAACAGGAGTGGAGAGAGACCCAATGTCTCAGGGGGGAAAGTGTCAAAGAACGTGCAGCCATTTTTAAAAACCAACATAGCAGATATACACTGCAGAAAGTGTTAAAGTTCTTCAGGCTGACATGAAATGATACCAGATGGAAACAGATCTATGCAAAAGGATGAAGAGCACCACAGATGGCAAACATGTACGTAAATAAAAAGGACTTTTTTCTTATTTCTTAAGTTTCCATGTTGCAGTAAAAATATACAACAACCACAACACAAAAGACAGGAGTGAGTAAAATGGATCTGATCTTATGCAACTGTAGAATCAACTCATTTTATCAAATGGCATGGAAATTGTCAATACTCTCAACCAATGAAGCAAGGGAGGTGCCACTTTCAAATAAGACAACAGTAGAAGTATTGACAACACATCACTGTATCGGAGGGGTTGGGAGAATGATCTCAGCGTGTTTACTCCCCCAGGTCTCTTCTTGAGAGGTCACCACAGGCTGGCATTGTCTGTAAGACGGCCTCTTCAAACAGGCTCTCTGTCTCTAGGTTCAGAGATCAAGGTCATCCTCTCTTGCGTGTTTTCAAGCACTCTTAGTACCCCAGGGAGCTCACTCCATTACCCCTGGTGGTAGACTCTGGACTCATGTTAACATCTACCAAAAAAGTTCATAGAGTCAAAGCAAAAATTCAACTTTTGGAAAAGTGATATTAAAAATAATTCATGGGCCGGCCTGGTGGCGCGGCGGTGAAGTTCACACGTTCCACATCTCGGGGGCCCAGGGTTCGCCAGTTCAGATCCTGGATGCGGACATGGCACCGCTTGGCAAAAGCCATGCTGTGGTAGGCGTCCCATGTATAAAGTAGAGGAAGATAGGCACGGATGTTAGCTCATGGCCAGGCTTCCTCAGCAAGAAAGAGGAGGACTGGCAGTAGTTAGCTGAGGGCTAATCTTCCTCAAAAAAATAAATAAATAAATAAATAAATAAAATAAAAATAATTTGCTAATAATAATTTGAATTCTAAATAATACTTATTAAGACTAGTAAATCCACTTCTGTGTATTTTAAGGAAAAACATCACTATTATTTTGAAGTACTTGACATGAAAAATTTGAATGGATTGTAAACCCATTCTCATTATTACAAGGAATTTTGACCTTATACCTGTAAGTGAAAGATATCTTAGATTTAGAGTACAATTTTAAAATATCAAATTGTCTGAATTCTAATTGATGACCATAAAAGATGTTCTGTCAATTGAAGAAAACAAATCCTCTTCTGCTATTTGCCATCACCTATTTATGTATACAAAAACTAGGGTAGATTTCTGAGGTTAGGTCATAAAAGGCCCTGCAGGGTCTGCCTTGTTCATTGAAACACTTGCTCTTACGGCCCTGAGCCACCACGTGAGAAGGCACCATGCTGGAGAAGCCACATAATGATCAATAGAGCCAGCTGAGCTCAGCTTTCTTCTTTATAGTCACTTTATAGTCTTTCTTGATAATCAATGGTAACTACCAAGAATCTGAGGATATCATTATTAACAGGTCTTAAAAGGGGCTTATATATAGTCACTTCAAGCATAAAACCTAGTATTAATAAATCATGTTGATGATTACTCACTGCAGGACGCAGAGTTTGGAAAACTGTTTGGCAGTGTCTACTAAAGCTGCATATTTGCATCCCTAAACCCAGTAATTTCACTCCTACACATATTCTCAACAGAAATACACACACACGCATGTGTGTATTACATACATAAATACCAAAAGACATGTACTAGAATTTAGTCAGAACTTCTCATCTTAGCCCCAAAGTGGTAACTACCCAAATGTCTATCAACAATAAATTAGACGACTAAATTATGCGCTATTTACAAAACAGAATTCTAAACAGTAATAAGAACAACCTACATGGAACGACATGAATGAATCTCACAAACAATCTTGAGATAAAGAAGCTAGACACAAAAGAGTATATATTGTATGATTCCATTTATATAAAGTACAAGAACAGGCAACACTAATCTATGCTGTGAGAAATCAGGACAGCGGTTACCCTTGGGGCAGCAGGTAACGACAGGAAGGTGAGGTTTGGGCGCTGGTAATGTTCTGCTTCTTGCTCAGGGAGCTCATTAGGTCAGTGTGGTGGTTTAAAAACATATCCACAGCTCCTGTGACCCTCCTTCCATCAGAAGGTGCAGTCCAATTCCCTTCCCTTGAGTACGGGCTGGCCTTAGTGACTCACTTCTAGCAAACAGAATGCACTGGAGCTGGCCCTGCATGACTTCCAATGGTAGGTGAGAAAAGGCACGAGAGCTTCCACCTAGCCTTGTTTCTTCGGACAGTCACCCTTGGTACCCGGCCACCATGCTATGAGAAAGTCAAGTGGTCATGTGGAAAGGCCATATGGAGGTATTCTGGTCACAGACAGAGCTAAGGTCCCAGTCTACAGATGGCACCAACAGCCAAACATGTAAGTGAAGGAGCTTCAGAGGATTCCAGACCCCAGACTTGCAGTTATCCCAACTAAGTCCTGCCCAAATTACAATTCATAAGCAAAATAAATGTTGCTGTTTTAAGCCACTAAGTTTAAGGGTGACTTGTTATGCAAGGACATGTAACTGGAACACACAACAGGTGTGCTCACTTTGTGAAAATTCAAGCTGCATAATTATGGTATATAGACTTTTCCTCATCTATACTATAATTAGTTTGAAATAAAAATCACATCATGGAGACAAGCTCAAGATTCTCATCAAATTTTTATTTTTTTAATTTTTTTTTTTTTTGAGGAAGATTAGCCCTGAGCTAACATCTGCTGCCAATCCTCCTCTTTTTGCTGAGGAAGCCTGGCCCTGAGCCAACATCCGTGCCCATCTTCCTCTACTTCACATGTGGGACTCCTGTCACAGCATGGCTTGACAAGTGGTACCGTGTCCGCACCTGGGATCTGAACAGGCGAACCCTGGGCTGCCGAAGCGGAACGTGTGAACTTAACCACTGTCTCAAATTTCTAAGTAGATTTTATTTTATTTTATTACTTTTATTTTTATTTTATTTATTTTATCAAGAAGTTTTGCATAAATTCAATATTTCATATCTGCCTCATACTTTGCCTTTTTCTTACAATTACATAACATAAAGAAAATGCAATGGCTTTTTCACTACATCCCGTATAGCCACCTCCTAATCTCCATCAGTTTACTTCGCACACTGTCAATTCTGACCTTTTATCACGTGTGGACGTAAACTCTGGCAGGCACTCCTGCAGGAGACATCTGCCCAACACCGTTCTCTCTTCTTCTGTTGAGAGGGTCTCACCGTCTTTGGGGGACCACCTTCTTTCTGATCAATCAAGGTAGCTGAGACCTGACTGTTCGGCTTTTTCTTTAATTCCATTATACCTCACATCCTTCCAGTGAATGTCCTTTTTTATTTAAGTTAGCAGTATTTGGTCTCTAGTCTTTGCAACCAACGAACACTTAACTGAGACATATCCCCAGTGCTAGCACACTGTCTGATAGAGTTGGTGATGAATAAATATCAAATAAAATGTTTATAAAATGACATTGGACAGCTGATTTTTCACAAAAGCACAAAGGCAACTCAGGGGAAAAGAATAGCCTTTTCAGCAAATATTGCCGGAGCAATTGGGTATCCATACATAACACACGTGGACTTGGGTCCATGCCTCAGGCCATAAATAAAAATTATCTCAAAATGCATCACAGACCTAAACATGCAGCCTAAACTGTAAAACTTCTAGAAGAAAACATAGGAAAAGGTCTTTGGGAGCTTAGGGTAGGCAAAGATGTTTTAGACATGACGCTAAAAGCACAATCCATGAAAGAACAGATTGGGCTTTATTAAAATGTAAAACTTCTGCTCTTCAAAATACACTGTTAAGAGAGCAAAAAGACAAGGCAGTAACCGGAAGAAAATCTTTGCAAAGCATATATCTGATAAAGAACTTCTATTCAGAATATATAAAGAACTCTCAAAACTGAAGAAAAGAAACAACCCATTTTTTAAAAATGGAACAAAGATCTAAACGTGCACTTCACCCAAAAAGAGGTACAGATGACAAATAAGCACATAAAAAGAGGCTCAAGGGGCCGGCCTGGTGGCGCAGCGGTTAAGTTCACACGTTCTGCTTCTCGGCAGCCCGGGGTTCGCCAGTTCGGATCCCGGGTGTGGACATGGCACCACTTGGCAAGAGCCATGCTGTGGTAGGCATCCCACGTATAAAGTAGAGGAAGATGGGCACGGATGTTAACTCAGGGCCAGTCTTCCTCAGCAAAAAGAGGAGGATTGGCAGTAGTTAGCTCAGGGTTAATCTTACTAAAAAAAAAAAAAGATGTTCAACATCATTAGTTATTGAGGAAATGCAAATTAAAACCACAAGATGCCACTACATACCTTTTAGAAAGGGTAAATTAAAAATGACTGACTATACCAAGTGTTGGTGAGGACGTGGAAGAAATAGAACCAGAACACACTCCTGATGGGAATGTAAACAGTCCAATCACTCTGGAAAACAATTTAGCAGTTTCTTAAAAAGTTAAACTTACATCTACCATATGATCCAACCACTCCCCTTCCAGATTTTTACACAAGAAAAAAAGGAAATATATGTCCACAAAAAGACTTGTACACAAACGTTCATAGCAGCTTTATTGGTAATAGTCCAAAACTAGACACAGCCCAAACGTCCATCAACACATGAGTGGATAAATAACTTGCTGGACATCCATATAATGGAATATACTCAGCAATAAAAAGGAATGAACTATTGGTACACAGAACAACATAGATGAATGTCAAGATAATGATACTGAGTAAAAGAAACCAGACCAAACAAGAATACATACCGCCTGATTCTATTTATATAAAACTTTAGAAAACGCAAATGACTCTATAGTGACAGAAAGTAGATCAGTGGTCGTTTAGGTGTGGGAGGCAGGGAGGGATGGGCACAAGAAATTACAAAGGGGAGTGAGGAGACCTGAGGATGATGGATATATTCCCTTGATGGTAGTGACAGTTTCAAACGGGTATGCATAGTCAAAACTTATCAGAGTATATACTTTGGATATGCTCCACATATTAAATGTCAAATATACCTCAATAAAACTGTCTAAAAAACAGCCCCAACTCAGCTCTCAAATTTGGAGGGGAGCAGAAAGGAAGCAGAATGGAAATCTCAGTTAAAGGCCTCAGGGAGGATTGTGAATTACCCAAGTATGTAAGGAATCCACACTGGCTCGGCCCAGCCCAGCCTCCGCAGAGTTTAACGAGCCATCTCCCTGCTATTCTCCAGAAATGGTGACAACCACCACCACAGCGTCTGTTTTTGGGAAGAGAATGACCCAATCAGTATAAAACGAATTCCACGTCTTGTGAGAGACTGTCAATTAAACATATAATCCACATTTATAAACATATTTAAAGGACTTCCTACTTGCAGAATATCGAGAGTGAACTTTTTGCATGTGAACCCAATACAGACACTATTTATTTAATCTTTTAGAGCCTCGGTTTCCTCATCTGTGAAACGCCAAAAGAAATAAGAAAAACTGGGAAATTAAAAAGAGCAAGACTTTGCCAGAGTATTAATTCTGCCTTTTTTGGGCAGAGCCTCTTTCTTCCCCCTCTGCTCCGAGAGACCTCCATTTCCTCCCATCTCCACCACCAGTAACTTACCTTGAGGAAGTCAAGTTTCTCCCAGCCTCCATCTCTCTATCACTAGACTCCTAGAGAGAGTTCCAGGAGAAAGGTCCCTGCCATAGCCCCGACCTGACCATCACCTTAGTCAAGAAGGCGTCCAGGCTCCGCCAGACTCAGCTGTGACTGAGGACCACACTGATGGGCTGGGCTTGGCTTGAGCTCTCTGCATTGCGTATTCCGGAGGGTGAGCTTCACTCTCCAGACAATCGTTGTTGTTGAGCGGCTAGAGGGGGACTATCTCAACAGCATCCCCATTTCTAACGGCGGATGGAGGTAGTTCCCAGGGTGACCTGTGTTCTCCGGGAGCAGAGCCATGTGGGCTTTGATTCTCTAGGGGAGGAGACAAGAATAGGACCTACTGAACAGGAATAGTGGTCAAGCCCACAGACCCTAGCATCATCTTCCAGCCGTCACTTAATGTGTGGGAGTTTATCGTCTCCAAAACTCAGTTGTTTCATCTGTACAATGGGGCTAACGCTTTAAATATTTCGTTAAATGTTATTAACTTCCATTAGAAATTACAGCACATTGGCCAATTACTGCCTTGAACACTGAAGACAGCACTTAACACATTAATTCAACTTTTTCCTAAATATATACTCAAATCAAAAGCTTGACTAACTATAACTTACTGAGAAAACAAAGCTTTCCCTTTCTGAGTTAAGAATTTGAGAAGACGACTCAGAAGCAAACTAAAATCAAGGTCCTAAAATGGTACAAACCTCAACGGGCCAGGCGGGTTTGCCTCCCCCAGCCCCGCCTCCATGCAGACCCGGCCCACTTCCGGCTGCCCCACCCACCCTCTGACACTGGGACCCCGCCCCCTCTGCCCAGTCCCGACCCCCGCACCTGATCCCCGTTTCCATTGGGTGAATCTGGACGCTGTAAACACACCCGACACACGCACGTTTGGCAGGGGCGGCTTCGCGCCTGCGCAGCAGCGCCGCCGGGCCGCCGGGGACTGGGGCCGGGGGGAGGGGGGCGGAGGTCAGGCGGAATCTTCCTCCGTAATAAGCAGCTACGCGCCCCGCGGTCCTGGCTCCGCGGGTCCGCTCGGATCGGGCCTGGGCGCTGGCGCGGCGGTGGGTCCCGCCGCGGCGGGCGCGATGGAGGCCGTGCCGGAGCCCAGCACTCCCGCCGGGGGAGGCCGAGAGCGCCGGCGGTGCTCGTAGATGCGGCGGCGGCGGCGGCGGCGGCACGGGCTCTCCATGAGCGAGCGGCGGCGACGGGGGCGGCGGCACCGGCAGTTTTCGGTCCCCGGGGAGGTAGGAGGACTTGGCTTCCTGGGGGACGAGACTGGCCGGTGCGGGGTCGCCCCTCGCGCGCACTCCCAGGCGCGGGCGGCGTCTCGCCGGCTCCGGGTCCGGGGGCCGCGCTCGGTACCGGGCCTTCCCGGCGCGGCGGGCCGGGCGGGGGCGTGGCCGGAGCGCGGGGACCGCGGAGGTCCTGCCCCGAGCCCGCGCCGCCGGGCGGGGCAGCGCGCGGCCGGCTCCGGGCGATGTCGGGGCGCTGACTCGAGGGGGGCACCCTCGGGACCCCCCGAGCCCTTGGGAGTCCGGCTGTCGGCGCCTTGGGCAGGTGGTCTGGCGCTCACGACCAGCCTGGAGTACAGATCGTCCCCCTTGGCAATGGCTGCGGAGGAAAGGTGTCGTTTTGCCAAAGAAATAGAGGTCGGGGAGTTTTCCAGGTCTCTGCAAACTGGCGGGCCCGCGGGGTGCCTCCTCCGGGGCTCCAGTGCAGCGCCTGAACGGACCGGCTTTCCCACGGTGGGGCGAAAACTTAAGACAGTTTCAAGTAAAGCTCTTTCCAGCCATTTCTCCATCTATCTTAGTAATTTTTTTATTGTACTTTACTCTGGAACAAATCACCACCTTAATGCTGAAACTAGGTTGTGTCCTCTACTGCTTCCAATCCTCTCTACCCGCCCAGTTTCTTTTTTTTTCCCCCAGAAAAAGGCTAAAGAAGTTAGTTTCTTTATAGAGAGAGATATGGATATAAAATTGTCGTTTAATTCTCTTAGAATAGAGCTATTACTTTGAAGACCTATAGTTACTCTTCATTTGATCGTGTCTAAAAGATACTTTACAGCAAAATACTACCAAGATTTACTGTTCCTTTCCAATGCAATATTTAGGAATCTGAATTCAGGCTCTTAATCTTACGACTTTGCTACAAAGTTCTTCAAAATCCAACAGAAATAAACCATGAAGAAAGTTATTTTCATTTTTAAAGTATTTGGATGCCTTATGATTTTTTGAAAGTCTGCTCTGGAAGCATGTCGGTTTCTGTTAAGGAGAAAGTGAGTTTGTGTTTTCCTAGGCTCCTGAGTCGCCACGCCCTCCTGTCCTAAGTGGTTGACTAGGGCCAACATGTTACTGACTATATATAAACATCTACACTTCAGACTAAATATAGTGTTGAATATTTTAGAGTCCACAGTATCTTGCCTCAAGCCGAAAATACTCTGTGAGCGTGGGTTTAATATATCGTAGAACTGAATTTTTAGTCTACTGGTATTGCAGGATCAGTTTGAACTTAATTTCTCACACAAATAGAACACATAGGTCTGCCGTGTTGAGTGCTGGGTTCATGTCATGCGTGGGAGGATGCGGCCCGAGAAAAGACGGAGTAAGACCCTGACCTCGGGCAACTATCTTCTCTGTTCCTATTCCTCACATGCTTCTATTTTTCATGAAAATATACTTTCCCGTAGAGGTAACATATTGGGAAACTCCATGATGTTTTTAGTTTAGACGTATGTTTGTCCCGAGTAACATAAAGCAATTTTTTCAAATCAGTTTCGTTAGCACTTCATTCTTTAATTTCTTTAAATTTTGCCTTATATAATGTACATATGACACAAACATGTTACTAGAATACTGTCAGTGACTTTAAACAAAGTGCATAGCTATCCTCAAGGTTAGCGGAAGGATAGGTGCCAGTTTAAATGGGGAGGACGCCTCAGTTCATTCCCACAACATGCAGAGAGGGCAGTCAGGACACTTTCCAAGTCCTGAATCCGATCTTCACAGCGTGGCCTCTGCAGTTTAAGTTCTAGGATATCTAGCAGGGCGCTAAATTGCAGGTAAAAATCCCAAAATGCATAGAAATGGTTTTTGTATTAGCTGGGCAACTCTTCAGTTAGGTTCTCATGATTGCTTTTCATATGTCTTCTGTCAAAGCTAATTGGCCATTATTCTGAAGCCCAACTAAGAATTCCCGTATTTCAGTTTTATAAGTGGAACCACACATATTAACAAGAAACAGGGAGGAAGAGGTTTACATTATGAATACACCCAACCAAATTTAGATTGTGTCTTTAAATAGCTTTATTTTCATTTAGGAGTTTTTTTATTACAGGGTTTTCCTATATCAAAGATAAAATCTGCAATATAATTAATATAAAGGCCTATCAAATGTCCATTCTCTATATCAAAAAAAGGTTGCATCTTCTTTTTTTGTTGTTTAAGATTTTATTTTTCCTTATTCTCTCAAAAGCCCCCCAGTACATAGTTGTAAATACTTTAGTTGTGGGTCCTTCTAATTGTGGTACGTGGGACGCTGCCTCAACGTGGCCTGATGAGCAGTGCTATGTCCGCGCCCAGGATCAGAACCGGTGAGACCCTGGGCCACTGAAGCAGAGCATGCAAACTTAACCACTCTGCCATGGGGCCGGCCCCTGCAGCTTCTTTTAAAGATTTTTATTTTTCCTTTTTCTCCCCAAAGCCCCCTGATACATAGTTGTGTGTTTTTAGTTGCAGGTCCTTCTAATTGTGGTACGTGGGACGCTGCCTCAACATGACCTGATGAGCGCTGCCATGTCCGCACCCAGGATCCGAACGGGCGAAACCCTGGGTCACCAAAGTGGAGCGCGCAAACTTAACCGCTCTGCCATGGGGCCGGCCCCAGTTGCAGCTTGTTAGATGGTCTGTCCAGAGACCATGCATATTGCCAAAAAAATGGCTCGGCGCTTGAATTGTATTAAATTTTTTTGTTACATCTGGAGGCCATCTAACCAAACAATTTAAATCTTTAGATAGCTTTATTTTCTTTTAAATATATCTCATGCATTTAACGTATGAAGTCACAAATTTACATGTTCTATTTTAAACTTTTAAAACGCAGGATGAAGACACTGTTTGAAGAGATCAAAGCATCAATTAAAAATAACTATAACCAAGATCGCTCATTTTGGAGGCCTGTTCTTCCTTGGGGAGGTGTTTTTACTATCAAAGCTGGCCGCAAAGCAGTGTCCTGTACGCCACTCTATGTTGAAATAAGACTGAAAAATACCTGCACCATAGATGGATTCTTGATGTTATTGTATGTCATTCTTAATGAAAATGAAAATTTCCCCAGGGAACTCTCTCTTCATTTAGGTAGAGAGTTTGTAGACTGTTTTCTTTATTTAATGGACACCTACAGTTTTACAACTGTGAAGCTACTTTGGATTTGGGACAAGATGGAAAAACAGCAATACAAATCTGAAGTTCACAAAGCTTCACTGATAATTGATTTATTTGGGAATGAGCATGACAATTTTACAAAAAATCTCGAAAATCTCATGTCTACCATACAAGAGAGTTACTGTTCCAACTGGCGATGCCCAACTCGAGTGCAGGAAGATCAGCAGCGCACAATTAATATAAAGTAAGTTGTTCTAAATTCTGGTCACTTTTAGCAAAAATAGTTTACTTTTTTAAATGAATGTTGCTATAAATATATATACGGTGAGAGTACTTCTCAAAGTACAGACGCTGTGTAAGTACTTACACGTCGAGCAACCACACAAATGCAGGACTCGCTAGTAGGTCCCACAACAAAAATGTTACTCTCTGTTACATCCAAACATGTTAGAATTTATAAAACCGACGGATAACCATTTCACATGCAAAGGAATGAATTATCCAGTACGCAAAATGTTTACTCTTGCTTTGAATTTACTAATATGACTGTGTAGATAATTAATTCCTTGTGTCACAAACTTAACCTCTCAAAGACAAGTTGTTACTGTATTGGAATGTTTCACCCCCTGAATGGATCTCTGTCAGCTAGGCTAGTTCTCCATGAACAAGAAGATTGAAAGTACTCCTTCATGTCATGTCCAGGGCATAATTATAGACAGAAACCCCAAACTTGGACTCTGAGCACCTGGAGAAGACGAGGATGTGAGGAGCTTTTTCACTGAGTAGGAAGGTGCTGGTAGCCTCTGAGTGTTTTTGGCTTTGAAAGGAAAGGCAGCCCTCCACCCTGGTGAATGACAGGGAGGAAGGCCGACCGAGAAGCCCTGGTGGAGTGCTGGGAAACGCTAAAGCCGCCAGCGGACGTGAGCTGGAGAAGGGATAATTGCCAGGGGAAAAAAAACAGGACAGAAAAACAGACCCAAACACATTGTTGTCAGAAGGTGTATGTGAACCCTGTGGTCCAGAAAAACAGCCTAACAGATTGTTCCCTTTGGGGAATGTACGTCATGTGCCCTAGTTGATTAAATTCACGTTCCTTTGTAGCATGCTTGGTTTAATGGCGTAACATTGTAGCATGCTTGGTTTAATGTCGTAACGTCACGCTACTTATGGAAAGCTGATTTATTGTATTCTTTTTGGAGTCTATCAATTAACTTCTCTCTTGTTCTGAAGTACACTTTGTCAGTTTTCCTGTATTGCTGATGTGATGATGGGGATTTTGAAATCGCTCTCAGGGGAAAAAGTTCTATTACTCTAAATCGTAATGGACTAAAAAGCGTTTGAGAAATTTGTGTTGTTTTTTGAAAACTAGTATCTTT